CAAGATCCTTCAGTCTATCAATGCTCCCAAGGGTCCTGCCATTTACTGTATACATTCCTCTTATATTTTTCCTTCCAAAATACATCACCTCGTGTCTGGATCAAACTCCAACTGCTGTCTCTCCGCTCAATTTTCCACCTAATTTATATCCTGCTGTATTCTTGGTCAACCTTCCTCACTATCCACAACTCTACCAATTTCCATGTCATCTTCAAATTTAATCAAACCACCTACACTTTCATCCAAATCATCTACATATTACAAGCAAAGTTCCCAGCGCTGATCCTGACAAACACCATTGGTCACAAATCACCACAGCTACCCTCTTATGATTTTAGTCAATTCTGTATCCAACTTACCATGGACCCAATGTGACTTAATCTTCTGGAACAACTTAAAGTGAGGGACTTGGCAAATACCTTAGTCCACGTAGACAACATCTACTGCCAATCATCTTTATCGCATCCTCAAAAAACTCAATCCAATTTGAGAGACAAGACCATGCCCACATGAATCCATGCTGACTATTCTTAATAAGTCCATTTTTTTCAATTGGAAATAAACAGTATCTAAGAATCTTTTGCAATAATTTGCCTATCATGGAGGTGAAGCACAGTGGCCTATAATTTCCAGGAGCATTCTGCTGCCCTTCTTAAACAAAGGAACAACAATGGTTATTCTCCAGCTTTCTGGGACCTCACTTGGGGCATAGAGGATACAAAGTTCTGTCAAGGCCCCAGCAATCTCCTCCCATGCCTCCCTCAGCATCCTGGGGTACATCTCATCATGCCTGGGAACTTGCCTTAATGTTTTTCCAAGATATCCAATACCACCTCCTCCTTAATATCAAAATGCCTGAGTATCAACAAACTCCTCTCCAAACTTGGCATCAGTATTCACAAAGGAGAAGGATTTTGCTAAGTACTTAAGAACAACACCTCCTTCCTCCTGCTCCATGTATCAATTCCCTCTTTTGCCCTTTAGTGGTCCTATCCTTTCCCTACCCACTTGCTCCTTAAATAAAATCCATTGGGATTGTACTTAATCCTACTTGCCAAGAACATTTCATGAGATTCTTGCAGGACATTTTGCTCATGCTATTGGGAAATGTTTTAAACCAATTTGATGTAGGAACAGGCATAGGCCATTCAGCCCATGGAACCTGTTCTGTCATTTAATGAGATCATGGCTAATATGTGGCCTAATTCCACACATCTGCTTTGGCCCATATTCCTTAATACATTTCCTTAAACATTTATCCACCTTAGATATAAACCTAACAACTAATCCAGCATCTACTGCCATTTGTGACAGAGTTTTAAATCTCAACCACCCTGTAGAGGTGCTTCCGACATCTCTTCTGAATGGTCTGGCCTAAATTCTCAGACTATACTTACTGCATTTGGCATTAAGACATTTGCTTTTCCTGATAAATACAATGAGTTGGATCTTGGTATACAGAAGCCAACTACAAAGTTTGCAGATGATGGGAAACATAGGATAGCTGTGTGGAACTCCGAAACGACATAAATAAGTTTACAGAGTGGGCAAATAATTGGCTATTGAGGTTCAATGTAAGGAAACGCGAGGTGAGGTAATGTGGTCAGAAAAACATGTAAAATATGAGAACAGCAGCAAGGGGAATTCGGGTGTACAGATGGCCTGGCAGGTGAAGGAGTAATTAATCAAGAATAGTGCTCTCAATATTATTAATAGGGGCACAGAGTACAAGAGCAATGAGGTGATGTTAAACTTGTATAAAACACTTATTAGGCCTCAGCTGAAGAAGTGTATGCAGTTGTAGGTGCGACATGACAGGAAAGATGTAAATATTTTGGAAAGAACGCAGAAGCAAATTTACTAGAATTGTTCCAGGAATGTTAAACTTCAACTTTGTGAACAGATTCAAATGGGTTAGCTGCTCTTCTTGGAGAGAAAGCTGAGAGGAGATTTGAAAGAGGTTTGTTTTCAAAATCCTGAGCAGACTGAACAGAATAGATGTTCTTGTTTCTTTTACAAGCTTAAGACAGCATAGATTTAAAAGTGATGTGCAAAAGAAGCAACGGCAAATAGGAGAAAAACTGTTTTTACACAATGAACTGTTAGGGTATGGAATACACTGCCTAGAAGTGTGGTAGAGGCAGGTTCAACTGAGGCATTCAAAAGGCTATTGGCATGATTATTTGGACAAAAATATTTTGCAGAAATACGGTGCAAGGTTAAGACAATGCAAGTAGAAAGCAGAGCTGGTGCATACACGATAGGCCAAATGGCATACTTCTGAACTGTTGTTATTCTGTGATTCTGTCACCTCACCCACATCCAGGAAATATTTAAAAGATTATGCCCAGGGCCCCCGCAATTTCTACCTCACTTCCTTCAAAGTCCTCGGATGAATCCCACCCAGGCCCTGTGCCTTGTCAACTGTGTATCAGTCTATCCAAGACTGCAACCCTCCTAATGGCCAATTTTCCTCCTCTGTCCCCATTGCCTGGACAGCATCCACCACTTCTGTAAAGGCAGATGCAAAGTATTCATTTACACCTCAGCAATGCCTTGTCTCAATGTGTAAATCCTCCTTATGGTCTCTGACCAGTTTTACTCCTCCTTTAACCACTGTATGTATACCACAAGAAGACCTTGTGCTGCTTGTCTTATCTCATAATTGGCATGCATATCCACTAGTCCCTTAAGGACAGGTTGATAAAGGGGTTGAGTCAGCATATGCTATTCTTGCCTTTATTAGCCAAGGCATAGAGTTTAAAGAGCAGGGAGGCTATGCTGGAACAGTATGAAAATTTTTAACAAAAACTGAAATTGCTAGAGAAACTCAGCCGATCAGGTAGATTTATGGAGAGACGAGAGGAATTTACTAAGATGTTACCTGGGCTGGAAAGGTTTGGCTATTCAGAGAGTTTGGGTAGATTGGAGCTGTTTTCATTGGAGCAGAGGAAACAGAGCGGCCATGATTGTGAGCGCAATAGACAAGGTACCAGGAAAAAATTGTCCCCTCGATGGAGGGATCACTGACCAGGGACCAGGGAACAGATTTAAAGGTTAGGAGCAGAAATTTTAGGGGAGATGTGAGGAAAAGCTTCTTCACCCAGAGGGTGGTGGGAATCAGGAACACTGCCCAAGAGTGGTAGAGGCAGAAACCCTCATAAGATTTAAGCGGCATTCAGATAAGCACTTGAGATGCCAAGGCACACAAGGTGATGGGTCAGGTGAAGGAAATAGGATTAAAATAGTTTTTGATTGACCCATTGAGTCTGTGCCAAAAGAAAAGCCTTTTTCTGTGCTGTGACCTTTGACTTGATAGTTCATCTACTTCTCTTATTTCTAATTATTCAGTAGTACTCTTGGTACTCAGCTACATCTTGTCTCACATCTGTCATTACTGTTGGTCTCGATCCACTTGTACTCCAGATCAGGTAAGGTTAGCAGATTTCCTTCCCTAAAAAAGAACAGTGAACCAGCTGGGCTCCTGCAATAAGTGAGGATAGTTGTCTTGCACACCATTACGGAAGACTCACTTTATACTCTAGAGTTATGAACAGAATTTAAGTACCACCAGCTGTCACTTTTATTCACTCGCGAGATATTGGTGTCACTATCTCGGCCAGCATTTATTACCCATCCCTAGTTACCCTTGAGAAAGTGGTGGTGAGCTGCCTTCTTGAACTGCTGCAGTCTTGTGCTGTAGGTAAACCTATAATTCTGTTAAGAAGGGAATTCCAGGATTTTGACCCAACAACAGTGAAGGAATGACAGTATATTTCCAACTCGGATGGGGAGTGGCTTGGAGGGGGAAGTTGCAACTTGTAGTGTTCCCGTAGATCTGCTGTCCTTGTCCTTCTAGATGGTACTGGTCATGGGTTTGGAAGGTGCTGTCTTTGGTGAATTCCTGCTGTACATCTTGTAGATAGTACAGACTGCTGCTACTGTGTGTCAGTGGAGGGAGTAGATGCGATGCCAAATCAATCAAGCCAGCTGCTTTGTCCTGGACTGTATCAAGTAGCTCAAGTGTTGTTTCAAAACTGAGGAAGGGTCACCAGACCCGAAACGTTAACTCTGTTTTTACTTTCACAGATGCTGCCAGACCCACTGAACTTTTCTGGCAACTTTGCTTTTGTTCGTGATTTACAGCATCTGCAGTTCTTTCAGTTTCATTGAATAAGGCAACGTGGTTGTCATGGTTGAATTTGAACCTATGTTCCCAGAAAACTGCATTACTACCCAGGTGATCAAGGGTCTGGATTAATCTTCAAATATCTCTGTCATCACTTGAGAGTTACTAGAGTTCTCAAGCACATTCAATATTAGCACATCAACCTAACAACATTGTTTGCATTCCAACAAAAAAAAAAAAAAAGGCTTCTAGGGATTAAAGATGGTAGTTCATCACCACCATCGCGAAGGTCTTAGTAGGAACCAGCCATATACACCATTAACAATTCTGAACAAAATTAGTATTCACCAACAGAATGCATGGACTCCTTAATTCTTCTCAACTTCACCTGGTTTATATCTGAAATGGTTGAAAGTTGGTCAGTGGAAGAAAAGAGATCCACAGGTCCCATAAGATATAAATATTAGACAATTGGCAAGGTGGTGACATAGTGACAACATCACTGGATTAATAATTCAAAACACAAGAGTAATGTTCTAGAGCTTCTGTTCAATTCCTACCTTGGTAGCCAAGCAAAATCTGACTTAGAATAAAAACCAGTCCTAATCACTACTGTGTGACTACTGACAATGGTACTGAAAGCCCATCTGGCTCACAGATATCCTTTGGAGGAAGGAAAATTTATTATCCTTACCTTGTCTGTTCTACATATGACTTGATACCCATAGCTGTGTGGTTGACTTATTACTTATCACTGAAGCAATCAGGGATGGACAATAATTGCTGTCCATGTCTCACAAATGAAGTCGAGAGAGCATTCTGCTGGAAACTAACTGGACTTTTTTTAAGGAAAGGTTAAAATAACACAAACCTTCTCTCCATTCACCGAAACACTAACAATTCGAAGAGAGACTTGCATCCATCGTTCAGTTGGATTAAACATGCTGAGAGATGTTTGTGATGCTATTCCAACACAACAGGAGTTCGGAAACTTCAATTCCTCTGGGACCAGCACTTGACCTAACAAAAAAGTTATTTTTAAAAAAAAAAATACAAAGGACAAATCTGCATGAAGGAATAAAAGCACAAACTATATAAAAATACATACTTCATAGAAGTTCTAAAATAACCTGTAAAATAGATCAGAAATAATTTGGCCGATTTCATGTAACTACCTTTTGAGAGGAAACAATATATTGGGACCTTGAATATGTCCTTGTCAAATTTATTACTTATTTCTCCTCGTCCTGACTCACTACAAAAGTGATACCTCGAACTAATCCAGTTAAATCATTGGCTGCATTGTTGAGCCAGTATATCATGAATTGAGGTCTTATTTCTCAGCAATTTGTCTAGGCAAGAACTCCAGATTCATTACTGAAATACCTTACCAAATTTCTCCCAGTTACCCTCAGGCTCATATTTACAAGTTGGTTTGAATGTCAATGGGGGAAAATAAATCCACCAGTCCTACACTATCCCTACACAACCTTTTTTGGTGGGGAGGTTTGAATATGTGGCACATAGAAGCAGAACAGAGAGAAGTGGGGATGTGGGGCAGTTGACAGAGGGAGGGATTTGGAGGGCATGCATGAGAGAGAGGGGGGAGGGACAAGGTGGAAACTGGATATGCCACAGCTTCAGATAAACTTCGGAAAAACTCAGGATGCTGTTTAGGCCCCTGATATGCAGCGTGTAGGCCCCAGTATGTGGGCATGCTCTGGAACTCATGAACCCTCAAATCAAACTCCCAGCCATGGGTCAACACCCCCACTACCTTGGTGACTAGTTCCAGGGAAGGTAATGGTTTGGGAACCTAATACTACATCTCATCCTGTCGATCTCGGGGCACGACTCCAGTTTAGCAACAGGTAACATGAGCCAAACCTTTAGCTGCAGAGAACGGGCCACAACATTGTAGATTTTGCATGGTGCAAGATCACATGTGGTGCAGTGCGCCTAACACAATGAGGTAACATAACATTTTCTTGCTGCTAGTGAGCATATGGTTCTGTACAAGATAGTCCTAATGAAATTGGAAGAGTGAATGAAGCTATTTTTCTAGTGTGAAGATCTGAATTTTAAATGTTATTTGATTTTGCTTTGTTGTTTTCAAAAGGAAAAAAAACATATGAAGGTTTAGCTGCAGTTTCATCTCAAAGAATATATTGGAACAAATTACTTACCAATATCTTTCAGTTGAAGTCCACCTGACCACTGATCAAACATGCTTATTCTAGATGGTTGGTAACCAACAGGCTGTGTTATAAAATTAGAATCCAAGGGTACAGCGTGTGCACTGTAAAACTGCGCAGAGTTAAGCATTCTTGTCCCTAATTTAGGATGAAGTGGATGAGTATTCTCCATGAGCACATGAGCACCAGGTAAACCAGCTGCAAGACTATGCAAATTCGATGACAAAGTGTTGCCCAAATAGCATGAAGCCAAAGGCACATTTAAACAATTGGCAGTAGAAGTCAGTGTTCCCAGATACTGTTGGGCCAACGGAGTTGTTAACAATGAATGCCCAGTAAGTAATGCTGGACCTGCCATGGGCACATCTGAAGACGTTGCTGGAGGTTTAAAGCTCGAGATAGGTGTATATCTATAATCAGTACTTAACGGTGGGAGAACGCTTAATCCACTACTGGTTGCAGAGGGAGCATTCACTGATTCTACACAATGTATTCTGTTAATCTTGTCCTGCCCAGATGCACAAACATGATCAGCTTTTTGTAGTACAGTTGGATTTTCATATGCCATTGGCTTGCCTGATGCTGAAAGGAAAACATCCAACCGCTGCTGACTTGGTTGAATCTTTGTTTTCTCAGATTGTGGAGAAGATAGGTTATCAGTTGTTTGTGAAACACATGCTTTTTCAACCTGATTCTCAGGACTTCTGGCCTGATCACTTGGCTGTTTATCACAACCCAATCTTCTTTGTTGCGATCCTTGCTCACAATTTGTTTTACGTTCTTCTAGTGAGCTTGAAAAGGTCAAATCACTTGAATTAATTATAGTTTGATCTGGTGTTGGTGTGGGACTTGATCGAATAATTGTCGTGCTTAGCTCAATGGTTTGGTCATTCTGTGGAAGAAAACGACATTTTTAGCACAATACAAACTGAATTGCAAGGTGTTGGCAGAATAGTTTATTGGTAAAAATTGCTCAGAGGGCTGTATTAATGTGCAAATACAACAGATAGACTGGTGACTCCTGAAAAGTAGACAATCCACTGTTTTGAGAGATTTCACTAACTTTTGTGTGAAGCAGTTACAGGCCTAAAAAGCCTGGCTCCAATGTTCAGCCATTCTGCCTGGTTTCAGATTCCTCTACCAGAGGAAATAATTTATCTACCTGAAACATCTCAATTTGATGAACTATTAATACTCCAAAATCAAGGGAATGCATTAGCCAACTCAGTACAGGTAGTCTGCATCAATACCTCAGTTGAATGGGTTAAACTTAACTGATTTTTAAAAAACCATCTTTCACGGGATGTGGGCATTGCTGGATGAGCCAGCATTTATTATCCATCTCTAATTGCCCTGGAGTAGGCGGAGATGAGCTGTCTTCTTGAACTGCTGCATTCCACGTGCTGCGGGTATACCCACAATGCCATTAGGGAGGGAGTACAGGAATTTGACCCAGCAACAATGAAGGAATGGTGATATATTTCCAAGTCTAAATGGCGAGCAGATCAGAAGGGAACCTATAGGTGCTCCCATGTAGCTGCTGCCCTTATCCTTTTACGTGACAGATATGCAGACAGATGATGGAAAGATGTAGAAGCAAGAGGGTGGTGGTGATGGGAGATTTTAAATTTTCCCAACATTGACTGGGATTCACTTAGTGTTAGGGGTTTAGATGGAGCAGAATTTGTAAGGAGCATCCAGGAGGGTTTTCTAGAGCAGTATGTAAATAGTCCAACTCGGGAATGAGCCCAGCCAGGTGGTTGAAGTTTCAGTAGGGGATTACTTTGGGAATAGTGATCATAATTCCCTAAGTTTTAGAATACTCATGGACAAAGATGAGAGTGGTCCTAAAGGAAGAGTGCTAAATTGGGGGAAGGCCAACTATAACAAAATTCGGCAGGAGCTGGGGAATGTGGATTGGGAGCAGCTGTTGGAGGGTAAATCTGCATTTGATATGTGGGAGGCTTTTAAAGAGAGGTTGATTAGAGTGCAGGACAGACATGTCCCTGTGAAAACGAGGGATAGAAAGGGCAAGATTAGGGAACCATGGATGACAGGTGAAATTGAGAGACAAGCAAATAGGAAGCATACATAAAGGTCGAGGCGACTGAAAACAGACAAAGCTTTGAAAGAATATCGGGAAAGTAGGACCAATCTGAAACGAGGAATTAAGAGGGATAAAGGGGTCATGAAATATCTTTAGCAAACAGGGTTAAGGAAAATCCCAAAGCCTTTTATTCGTACATAACGAGCAAGAGGGTAACTAGAGAAAGGGTTGGCCCACTCAAGGACAAAGGAGGGAATTTACGCAAGGAGTCAGAGAAAATTAGTGAGATTCTTAATGAGTACTTTGCATTGGTATTCACCGAGGAGAGGGACATGACAGATACTGAGGTTAGGGATAGATATTTGATTACTCTAGGTCAAGTCGGCATAAGGCGGGGAGTGGGGGGGCGGTAAGTGTTGGGTATTCTAAAAGGCATTAGGGTGGACAAGTCCCCAGGTCCAGATGGGATCTATCCCAGGTTACTGGAGAGAAGCAAGAGGGGAAATAGCTGGGGCCTTAACAGATATCTTTGCAGCATCCTTGAGCACAGGCCAGGTCCCGGAGGACTGGAGAATTGCTAATGTTGTCCCCTTGTTTAAAGAAGGGTAGCAAGGATAATCCTGGTAATTATACACTGGTGACCCTGACGTCAGTGGTGGGGAAGCTGCTGGAGAAGATACTGAGGGATAGGATCTATTTACATTTGGAAGAAAATGGGCTTATTAGTGATAGGCAGCATGGTTTTGTGCAGGGAAGAAGGTCATGTCTTACCAACTCGATAGAATTCTTTGAAGAAGTGACAAAGTTGATAGATGAGGGAAGGGCTGTGGACGTCATATATATGGACTTCAGTAAGGCATTTGATAAGGTTCCCCATGGTAGGCTGATGGAGAAAGTGAAGTCGCATGGGGTCCAGGGTGTACTAGCTAGATGGATAGAGAACTGGCTGGGCAACAGGAGACAGAGAGTTGTTAGTGGAAGGGAGTTTCTCAAACTGGAGAACTGTGACCAGTGGTGTTCCACAGGGATCCGTGTTGGGACCACTGCTGTTTGGTGATATACATAAATGATCTGGAGGAAGGTACAGATGGTCTGATTGGCAAGTTTGCAGATGACACTAAGATTGGTGGAGTAGCAAACAGTGAAGGTGACTGTCGGAGAATGCAGCAGAAAATAGATAGATTGGAGAGTTGGGCGGAGAAATGGCAGATGGAGTTCAATCCAGGCAAAGGCGAGGTGATGCATTTTGGAAGATCCAATTCAAGATCGAACTATACGGTAAATGGAAAAGCCCTGGGGAAAATTGATGCACAGAGAGATCTGGGTGTTCAGGTCCATTGTACCCTGAAGGTGGCAACGCAGGTCGATAGAGTGGTCAAGACGACATACGGCATGCTTTCATTCATCGGACGGGGTGTTGAGTACAAGAGTTGGCAGGTCATGTTGCAGTTGTATAGGACTTTGGTTCGACCACATTTGGAATACTGCGCACAGTTCTGGTCGCCACATTACCAAAAGGATGTGGATGCTTTGGAGAGGGTGCAGAGGAAGCTCACCAGGATGTTGCCTGGTATGGAGGGCACTAGCTATGAAGACAGGTTGAGTAGATCAGGATTATTTACATTAGAAAGACGGAGGTTGAGGGGGGACCTGATTGAGGTCTACAAAATCATGAGAGGAATAGACAGGGTGGAAGGCAAGAAGCTTTTTTCCCCCGCCAGAGTGGGGGACTCAATTACTAGGGGTCACGATTTCAAGGCAAGAGGGGAAAAGTTTAAGGGAGATATGCGTGGAAAGTTCTTTACACAGGAGGGTGGTGGGTGCCTGGAACGCATTGCCAGCGGAGGTGGTAGAGGCGGGCACGACAGCGTCATTTAAGATGTATCTAGACACATACATGAATGGGCAGGGAGCAGAGGGATACAGATCCTTGGAAAATAGACGACAGGTTTAGATAGAGGATCTGGATCGGCGCAGGCTTGAAGGCCCTGTTCTTGTGCTGTAATTTTCTTTGTTCTTTGTATATCATGGATTTGGCAAATGTTATCTAATGAGTTTTGATGAATTTCTGCGCATCTTGTAGATGGTACACTGCTGCTGGGAGTCAGTGACAGAAGGAGTGAATGGTTATGGATCAAGCAGGCTACTTTCTCCAGAACGGTGTCAAGCTTTCAGTGCTGTTTGAGCGTTACTACATTCCCTTCCAGCACCAATTTATTCAGCCCAAAGCAAAATGCTGAAAACAGACTGTAATATCATCTATGGGGTCAAATTGGTATTTATTTAAAATGACGAACAATTTCCATCTTACTGGGGATAAAGACTAATTCCAGTAGCCTTTTTAATCATTTTTCCTACCAGACCAATAGCTTTTAACATTTTTCATATAGTATTTGGAAGGCTAAATCTGACTTCATCGATAATATTTTCTAAATGAAATAAGTCTCCTGATCTTGCTTGGGTTAAAATAATCTCAATTCTCAACATTGAATTGCATCCACCACAGTTTTCTGACTCATTTGAAATTTCAGTTCCCATCAACATTATTTGTTCTGTCACTAAAACGTTTAATGAACAAAATCTCAACAATAAGAAATTAACTCATTGACTATCTGGAATTCAGGTTTTCCCACTGAAGTGGGCCTTAGAGTTACAAGATCAAAGCGGACAGTTCTTGGCTTTCTTTTGTATTTATAAATAGGACATGGGAGTCATCCCTTACTACACCAGAGGTGGTGATGAGCTGCTTTCTTCCACCCGCTGCAGTTACTGGGATGAAGTAACAAGTACTGCTCTCAAAATGTTTTAAGATTATGATGCTGTAACAGTGAAGGAAAGGCAAATAAGATCTAGTCGGGATGGTTTGTGGCTTGGAAAGAGCATACAAGTGGTTGTGTTCCTGCACAGCTACCACCCTTATCTTTAACTAGACAAAATCGAAGGGGCCTTAGTGCGGTGCATTTTATGGATTACACACCACCACCATGCATCGGAGACAGTGTTCAAGGTGGTGAAAGGGATGCCAATCAAGCAGTCTGCTTTGAAACAAGTGGTGTCAATAGTTGAGTGTTGTTGGAGCTGAACACATCCAAACAAGGAGAGAGCTTTCCAACATACTCCTGACTTATGCTTTGTAGATGGTGTGCCGGCATTAGAAAGATAGGAGTAACTCACAACAGAATTTGTAGCTTCTGACGCACTTTTTACGACAGTATGAATTTGGCTAACCCAGTTCCAGTTTCTGGATAATGGTAACCCCCCCCAGGATTTAGAGATGGCAATGTTGTTTGATGTCAAGTGGCAATGGTTAGATACCTACTTGGAGATGGTCATTTCCTGGCAATTCATAGAATCCCTACAGTGTGGAAACAGGTCATTCGGCCCAACAAGTCCACACTGACCCACAGAGTATCCCACCCACAGCCCACCTAATCTACACATCCCTGAACACTATGGGCAATTTAGCATGGCCAATCGACCTAACCTGCACATCTTTGGACTGTGGGAGGAAACCGGAGCACCTGGAGGAAACCCACGCAGATACAGGGAGAATGTGCAAACTCCACACAGACAGTCACCAGAGGGTGGAATTGAACCCGGGTCCCTGGCGCTGTGAGGCAGCAGTGCTAACCACTGAGCCACCGTGCCACCCCAATTATGTGGCACAATGCCAAACCTGGATGTTGTCTAGGTATGCATGAGTGGAAAACGGTGAACATTTCACTATCATCAGCAAACATCCCCACTTCTCAATTCATGGAGGGAAGTGCATTGAAGACAGTTGGGCTAAGGACACAACTGATGAATTCCTGCAAAACTTTTTCTCCATATCTATTCCATCCAGG